AACCCAAGAGGAATTGTTCTTGGAGACAGAAAAAACATCTGAAGTACCAAGGTACCGACTATTTGCAGTTCAAAGTGAGGGGCTGAGGGAACATGGCTGGGCCTGCTGTTTGCCTGCCCTTCTGCTGAGCAACCCAAACAGCATCTGCCACAAACAGCATCAGAACTTCCTTGTGATTATAACAGAGGGGAAACAAAGGCATCTACAACTCTGATCAAACACAGAAATTACCCTTTCACACCCAAGCATGACACAGCATCTGGGCTTTGCATGCACCAGTCGAGTTTTTAAGCCATTTCAGTGAAACCTGCAAGTCTTTGCATGAAGACCAACTGATTCCTTGTTCAGCATCTCCTGAGTCACCAGGACTCTTTCAAAGGTTCATTCAGCACCTAAGGTGTCTGCCTCAATTACAAAGGGACAGTCTGTGCCAACATTGTGTCATACAGTTTCCACTTTATGCAAGTACCAGCTAGCTACCTTGACGCACTAGTGCCTAGGATACTGCCAGTCGCTTCCTTTCTTCCACCAAGAAACCACGTGCTACAGATACGGCAGGACAAAGTCACCCCTCTACCACCTCTGGTTCTAAATTAGATGCCAGGCCAAGAAATGGTATCTTGCGACAAACAAGTCTGGTTTAATTTTAAACAACTGAAAACAAATAATTACAAAGTAGACAAGAGAAGCATTCACCCCTCTGAAGTACTACCTAATTCACAACTGTATGCAATTTCAGCCCATCGGTTATTTTGCTGAAAACTTTTTAATTCACAAATTTGGCTATGTGAACAGTTCTGCCACAGGCATGGGTTCTCACTGGTCGCTGAAAGGAATGGTACCTACTCACTGGGGCCGAATTATTTTCAAACCTGCAGATATAAACCTACACAGCTACGTGCCTGACAGTAGCTTCTCCCTCTGGCAGACCCTGCACCATCCTGCAGTTCTTCCCCCAAGGTCTATTTACTTCTACTGCAGATAAGAGATATATGAGAACAGACAAACAACCAGCTGTTTTCTACTCTAAGCAACCTTTGCTTTTAATTTAATTAAGCAAATCTCTAAATTGAGGGAAAGTTGATTTTAAGCATGATTTTCTTAACAGTTTATCCATACAGCAAGTTACCTGTTAATGATCCTGGTCACTCTCACGGTCTTCTCCAGATGGTTCCACTTCCTCTGGACTCTGATGGCAGTGGCACTGCTATCAGCTGTACAGAGCAGAAACAAGCATCAAGCCCTGGATCCCCGAGAAGAGCAGCTGGACTCACTAACCAGCAGTAGTTCCAAAAATCACTTGGGTTTCTTTTCCCAGCATTTGCTCACCTGACGACCTGACAAACCAACCCCACTTACTACATTTAAATTGGAGAGGGGCTTTTTGGTCAAACACAAACCCTAAGCAAGCGACTGGTGTGTCACTTAAGTGATCAGATGAATCGGTGATGTTACCATTGCTTAGCTCCAGAGCCTGCCAGCATTTTGCTCACCTTCCAGCTACACGTGCACGAGAGCTCTTGGCAGCGCACACCGGGTTTCAAGCTGGCTTTCCTTCAGACAGCATGGAAGAGTTGATCCTCCGCTGCTAAAAATCTGCATGCAGGGTCAGCAGTGTCTCCTAAGAGGCAAACACTAAGCCACGTGCCGGTCAGGAATGGTTCTGTTTGAACAGCTAATCACAGGTTTGTGGCAACAACAAAACTAGGTATAAAGGGCATGCATAAGTTTGTCACAGAACATGCGTCTAGTTTTTGCAGTCTCATTATACGCTTCATAGAAGTTATCTACTTTGCGCATATATGTACACATATATGCACATGTGCCCTTGTGCAGCATTGCTGAAAGGCACAGAGACTAAAACAAACAAAAAAAATCAATTAAACCCCCTAGGAAAGCAGTATGATGAAATCATGCTCACTCTTGTGCCCAAAGTCCTCTCTAAAGTATACGATTCCTGGCCTGGGGAAACAGTTTCTGGAGGGGAAAAAAGTAACACTGCTACTGCAAGTTATTTAACCATCAACTTTTTTTTTAAACACACTGGCAGCTTCTGCTGTTCACATTAGACTCATGCTGCATAGCTATGTATTCTGTAAAAAACTAGTGGCACACTCCCCGCCTACAGCACATTTCAGACAGACTACTGAAACCATTGGCAAGCTATGCACATGAGTCACTGTTAAGCTAGTCTGGCATGTAAACACTTACCTCGAGGTCTGAGGCTACAGGTAGGGACAGCAGTGATTAAGCTCTCAACTCCCAGCTCTACCTTTAGGATTTAAAAAAAAAAAAAAAAAAAAATCTACAAACACAGCACCCATCAGTTACCAGTGTCTGAAAACATGAGAGAATTGGGGTCATCCCTTCTCCCCATCCCTGGTACCCCCACATTCTCAAGACAGGCAACCCAAAAGAAGGGTCTTCCTGATCTCACAAGCATCCAACATTAGACCAGGCTCTGTGAATCATTATTTTGTTTCCCGATTAAGTGTTCCCATGGAGCTTCATTGCCTGTATTACAGCCATAGAGGCTGCACAAAAATTGTACTTGCCTTTCAAGATACAACTGGACGCAAGCATTAGCATGCTTTTATCCCAGCGTGTTCAGGCAGAGATGCAACTGAGCATGCATGCAAGTGCAAGCATACCAAGTTTTCTAGTCACTCTGCACCACCGCTTCCACAGAAAAGTTCTCAGCACACCCTAAAAATAAGCATGTTGTCCAGGTCTGACCACCCAGGGGACACGAGTGCAGCAAGATGTGGCACCTCAAAACTCAACCTTCAATGACACCATTCTGCATCAGAAAAGTAACTGAGCCCAACTGATGTTAATTGACTCACAATGTAATCATCATGTATCAAAACAATCAGCAGTACAGAACACGCAGTAAAGATGATTAACTCAAGTTGAACTTTTATTTTCAGGATTAAAACCCCAATGATATAGATGCAGAGTAAAACAGAAGGAAACAGATGTCAACCCAAGGTTATGTGCAGTTCAAAAGAGGCATCCTGGTTTCACAAAACTGAATTGGACAGATGGATAAAGCACAAACTACCAAGAGAAAGAAGAGAAACTGAACAAAATATAAATTGAGAATAGGTAACTCCTCTTCACCTGGCTCCCTCTGCCCCCTTCCACAGTACAAACAACACAAATACAAAAAAAAATCCTGCAAAATACATTTGACTGTGGAAAATCAAAGAACCAAAGTTATTTTTATGTAGGATGTACCAATCAATACTTTTTTCAGAATTAAGAATACATTGCAGTTCAATTTAAGTGAGATACAGAAGAATTTATCACAGGTCTAACAAAGGGCTAGAGAAGTACTGTTTCAATGGACACCACACAATCCATAAATATTCAGGAATATAAAATATAATCAGATTCAGCAAACAGTTCTAAAGCCAATATTTCTATTCCAATCCCTACAATTATAAGTTAAAGCTTGTTTACTTCGTAAGACTTGAGGAGAAATACATAGGCTTATGAACTACACACATTTCTTCAACACAATAGATGTATCAAATCAGTGGGACTGATTATTTTTAATACAAAATAGAGACCAATTTAACAACCTAAACCAAACATCTAATGGGATTATCATTGGACAGTATGACTAAATAACTCACTACACTCTTACCACAGTTATCCCAACATACATGTCCTTAACATAACATTTATTACCTCTTCAGCATATGCACTGGCTCTTCTACCCGAGTCAAAGCTGGAATGTCAGATATAAAAAGAAAAAAAAAAAAATCTTCTTTTCCACTGCTGAAAGGGCTACATCTTGAACAGACTTGAATTTTGAATGAAGTTTTGGGTCAGTTCTGTTCTTCACATTAGACAATTTCTCTGTGCTTAAACCACCACTGAAAATTTTTGTCCCAAACAGTGGTCCTCTGACTGAAGAATTTGCTTATTGGGGATAGGTAACAATCTGCTCAAGTCTAGATTAAAGTCTTAGTAAAACTGCATTTAGACTCTTAAATATGTAGACTCAAGTAAACCTCAAGTCACACATGCTCTGTCAGACTCCCACGGGTAACCTGATTTTAAATCAAAATGGCCACGTCCTATTTATCTATAGAAGTCCTAAGTCCTGGTCTGCTATACAATACAATGATGAACTCTGATACCTGAGACAGGTATGCAAAGAAAGTATTTCCAAAGGCTTAGCCAGATGAGAACAATAGATAAGCATCTTGGCAGATGCCCCGCTTCTGTTTGAGCCAAAATCCCTGCTCTAAAGTGCTTATTCAGCTTTACAGCACAGGTGCTTTCTAAACTCCAACGTAGTAACTCAGTACCAACAGAGCAGAAAACAACATGTGGTCAGGAGCAAAGATACCATCTTCGCTTTATTCCTTTCTTCTCTAAAGAGTCTGTTTAGCCAAGCATGGGCCTTTCCGCAATCAGCATTTGCGCTCTGAAGACTCCCTGTCTGACACAGCAGCCACAGCACCCCTGAAGCTCGCCTTGCCAGCACTGTCTCCAGCAGGATCCCCTCCACCACAGCAGAGCACATGCAAGTTGGCATCCCTTCTGTTCTTGAGACAAAACTGGACAGCAGG